TATTGATACTGCTTTTGAATTAGTCAATAAAAAGACAAAAGTTCTACATGCACTTGTTAATAATGCTGGTATTGGTTCAGGAGGATATATTGATTGGATCTCAATGCAAACGATGCGTAAAATAATGGATGTAAATTATTTTGGACATGTTACTATGACGAAAACGTTTCTTCCATTACTGATTGCTAAACGTGATTCACGTGTCATTAATATTTGTTCAGTAATGGGATATACAAGTCCACCAGGAATGTCGTCATACTGTGCATCAAAATATGCATTTGAATCATTTAGTGATTGCCTGCGACGTGAAATGTTTGCTTGGGGTTTAAAAGTTTGCATTATTGAACCTGGCTGGCTTCGAACACCGATTATTGAAGGTCACGAACGTTTAGTACGAGATTTATGGGATGAACAACCAATAGATATACGCAAAAGATGGGGTGATGAATTTTTGAATGATTTAATTAAAAAATCAATAACAGAAAATATATGCATTAGAAATGCTGAAGATCCGATGAAAGTAATACGAGCACTACAACATGCAGTTATTAGCAGTAAACCTCGTATTCGATATCGTCCAGATTTACAATCAAAATTCTTATTTTATCCATTGTCTATGTTTCCAGATTGGTTACTGGATATTCTTATGTCTAAACTAGTTGGCTCATCTATTCTTCCTGCTGGTATTAATAACCAGATTACAAACTAATCAAATAGTTTTAAATGGAAAATATTATCCTTTTTTTTACTTTCGTAATCTATAATTTAAAAGAATGTATATTTTAGTCTTTCTTTCTTACATAATCATATCTGATTATCCTTCATAAAACGAAAAAAGAGTAGTCAAGGATGAATGCACATACAGAAATAAAAAAAAATATGACAATAGAATATAAAAATAATCGTACGCTGTATCGTCCTGCTTATTTTTTCTTTTACACGTGTTCACATATCTCAAAGAAATATATTCATAAATAAATTATCATGTTTCTACTTATTATCATAGCAATTATTTCCTATGTGAGTTATCGAATATATCGAAGTACACTTTCAACTCCAAATATCGATTCACATGGTAAATATGTTTTAATTTCGGGATGTGATACTGGTTTTGGTTATCAATTAGCTATTGAACTCGATAAACAAGGTTTTAATATTCTTGCTGGTGTTTATTCTCGAGATAATATTCTTTCGTTACATAATAAACTTTCATTTAATGCAACTGTTTTTCATCTTGATATTACTAATCAGAATAGTATTGATACTGCTTTCGATATAGTCACTAAAAAAACCAAAGTTCTACATGCACTTATTAACAATGCTGGAATAAATGATGGATATTTTATTGATTGGACTTCCATAGATACAATGCGTAAAGTAATGAATGTGAACTTTTTTGGACATGTTGCAATGACAAAAATGTTTCTTTCATTACTTATTGCTAAACGTGATTCTCGTGTTATAAATATGGGTTCAATGTGTGGTTATATTAGTCTTCCAGGTTCTTCTGCTTATTGTGCATCAAAATATGCATTAGAATCATTTAGTGATTGTCTTCGACGTGAAATGGCTTCTTGGGGTCTACATGTTTGTCTTATTGAAGGAGGTCCGATGCGAACATCTTTTATTGATGATATAGAAAAAAAAAATACGAAATTCATGGAATCATCTTTCAACTGGTAATCAACAACGTTATGGAGATTACTTTTTGAATAATACAATTTTACAATCAATCAATAGTGGAATAGTGATCAGTGCAGAGAATCCAGATATAGTCATACAAGCAACACAACATGCTGTATCGAACACGAAACCTTTTATTCGATATCGTCCAGGATGGCAATCAAAAATGTTTTTTCTTGTCTCTCAGTTATTTCCGAGCGATATAATGGATAGTTTTTTGACTATGGGACCAACTTTAATTCCTGATGCTGTGCATAAGCAACTCACGGACTAGTATCATTTTTCTTATTGTTGAAATTTTGATATGACCTTTTCAATGTGTAAGGAGTTAATTTAATTCATTGATAAATATCTATATCATGGTTTTATTTATTCTTAAATCGTTCATTTTCTGTATGAAAGCTTTTATGCTTGTTGGTAGTTGTTATGTATTCTTATAGCTTCATAAACATCATGTCGGCACTATACTGATGTAAGTTTTTCTTTTCTTTTCTGTGTCTTATATTATTTCTTCACAATTCCACGTGTAGAAAAGCAACGAAGAAAACAAAAATATTCCTTCTGATATATATATGCATCTATTTGATGTAAGTAGAAAAAAAAGATACGAAGAATATTTTATTTCTTTCGTTTATATGCTTTTATAATAAATTATGATGTTTTTATTTATTATTCTGAGTATCTTATTTTATATTATCTATCGTTTATACCAATATATTTTTTTATCACTTAAAATTAATCCCAATGGTAAATATGTGTTGATTTCTGGATGTGATACAGGTGTAGGTCATGCATTAGCTGTTGAACTCGATAAACAAGGATTCAATATTCTAGCAGGTGTATATGTATCGAAGAATATAATTTCATTAGAAAGTAAACTTTCATCAAGAGCTACAGTTTTTCATCTTGATATTACTAAACAAGAAGATATCGATGCTACATATGAATTAGTACAAAAGAAAACTAATACACTTCATGCACTCGTAAACAATGCTGGAATTATAACACATGGTTGTATTGATTGGACTTCTATGGAAATGATGCGCAGAATAATGGATGTTAATTATTTTGGACATGTTATGATGACAAAAACATTTTTACCTATGCTTATAACTAAACGTTATTGTCGTGTTGTGAACATGTGTTCAGCAACTGGTTTCTTTGCTTTTCCAAATACATCAGCTTATTCATCTTCTAAACATGCACTTGAAGCATTTTCTGATTGTCTTCGACGTGAAATGTCTCCATGGAATTTACATGTTAGTATTATTGAACCTGGTACTTTACGAACGTCTATGACTGATGGTTATGAATCTAATTTACGTATTTTATGGAATGAACTTTCATCTGATATTCAACAACGATGGGGAATTAACTTTTTAAATGATATAATTACTCAGTCGATTAATAGTCCTTTTATTAAATATGCGGATGATCCACTTAAAGTAGTACGAGCAATTCAACATGCTGTAATGAATGTAAATCCTTGTATTCGTTATCGACCAGGATGGCAAGCTAAAGTTATTTTTATTGTATTCTATATACCTCCTGTGTGGTTAATCGATAAACTTCTAGCTAAAGCTTTACATTTTATTCCTGCCGATGTACGAAAACAACGTTTGAACTAAAAATTAAATTATATATGTGATTAGAAAAATATTTTTGCTAACTGTCATTTCAAGTTAACATATACAAATATGTTCTATGAAATAGATCATAAGATATTTATTTTTATCATTCATAGTAATAAAAAAACGAATATTTTTCTTGAATAATATAAAAATCATTAAATCTACACATACAATATGATTTTAAGTTTACTAGTAATGTTCGAATTAATTTAAAAATGAAGCGAATGACCAAATGCTCTTGTCTGTATTTTATTTCTCATCATTTTTTTATAAGTCACTTACATTAATCGATAATGTACAAAAATCATCTATCCAAGTTCCTTCAATCATACTAAATACTATGAATAATCAAGTATCGCTGTAGATATTTTATCTTTGTGATACATATATATCTTTGATACCTCTGTGAGTCGATCAAAGTACGATAAAGTGTTGCGATCGACTGTAAAAACACCCAAAAGAAAAAAAGTACATAGGAAAAAGGTAGAGAAATAAATGTCGAAGTCACTTTGATCGAAAAAAAGGTAAAGAAACAAATGTCGAAGTCACTTTGATCGAAAAAAAAATGTCGAAAAGTTTTAGATGTTCATCAAACTATTGATTTTCTTGTCTTAATATTATTCATTGAACTTTCACAGATTAATAAATCATTTGATCCAATAAATAATTGTGTAAACAAACTTTCTAGAACGACGAGAAACTGAGAGAACAAGTGTGTGAGTGGGTGTGGATGTTGTATTCTTCTGTCGTCCACACCCACACCCACACCCTTACTCACATCCTCAAATTTTTCCTCTGACAAAAAACTCTAAACCTTATTCTTTCGACGCTTTTTTTACTTCGAAATTTTTTCCCTCGACCTTTTTCTCTTGACATTTATATTTCGACGTTTGTTGCGTCGACATTTTTTCTTTCGGTATTTGTTTTCGATATTTTTCCCTAGACATGTTTTTCTCGATATTTACATTTCGACATTTATTGCGTTGACATTTTTTTCTTTCGGTCTTTTTAAAGCATACCCCGTATATATATATATATATATAGTCAAGTATTTTATCATTGTTAGTTATTGCGCTACCAAATTGACGTTGTATTTATTTTTTAAAACCACGTCGCCCTAGTAAAGCAAAAATAACGGTGCTTTTATTTTAACTATAGTTCTCCTTTTGCAAGCATGACAATGTGTTTTATTATTGGTATTGCAGTAGTACTTTACATAGGATATCGAATATATCAACATTTTTTTCCAACTCCAGATATCGATCCACGTGGCAAATACGTCTTGATTTCAGGATGTGATACTGGTTTTGGTCATGGATTAGCTATTGAACTCGATAAACAAGGTTTCAATGTCTTTGCCGGTGTTTATCTTCAAGATAATATCATTTCATTACAAAATCAACTTTCATCCAATGCAACTGTTTTTCAACTTGATATCACTAATCAAGATGATATTGATGCTGCTTTTGAATTAGTCAATGGAAAAACAAAGGTTTTACATGCACTCGTGAACAACGCCGGAATAATTGATGGACATTTCATTGATTGGACTTCGATAGAAACGATGCGTAAAGTAATGGATGTGAATTATTTTGGACATGTTGCAATGACAAAAAAGTTTTTACCATTACTTATTGCTAAACGAGATTCGCGGGTGATTAATGTTTGTTCAGCTGCTGGTTTTCTTGCTGTAGCAGGTATGTCATCATACTCTGCATCGAAATATGCATTAGAATCATTCAGTGATTGTCTTCGACGTGAGATGTTTCATTGGGGTTTAAAAGTTAGTATAATCGAACCAGGATTTATGCGCACACCACTTATTGAAAGACTTGTTAAACCTTATCCTGAGTTTCTAACTTCACTTTCAAATGATGTTCAAGAACGATGGGGAGAAGAATATCTTAAAGGATGGCATGATAAAATGGAACAAAATCAATTAACAAAACTTGCAGATGATCCACTTAAAGTTGTTCAAGTAATTCAAAATGCTGTTATGAACAGTAAACCTTTTATTCGCTATCGTCCAGGAATGCAATCACCTCTTATCTTTTTACCAATTTCAATATTGCCAGCTTGGATTGCTGATTCTATTCTTCGAAAATTAATGTAATCAACTCATGTTCTAGCACGTGTCAACTAACAATTGAAAGATTGAAACAAACTTATTTAAATAAATAACCATATAATTATTTTTTGTAAAACAAAAAAAAAAATTTTTCATGGTTTAGAAATATATTGACTCTTCATAAATTGTGAAAACTTCCTGTTACAGATTTCATTTGACAATTGTCAGTTCATATATTTTAATATACACGTAATTCGAAAGTAACTAAATTTAAGCACTATCTAACATGCACACTATTACATAATATAATATCCTCTATGATTACTATGCTAATAAGCTCATAATCATTTATAATAACTTGTTTCTATAATACTCATGTATTCTTAGTTATCAATATCATTCTGATTTTGCATATTAAACAAATTTTTGTTGATCTTAGAATAACGATATTTGAAAAGGAGAAGTTGTAAATCTATCAAATTACAATTTTAAAGTTTTAATAGTATTTATTTGTATGAATAAGAAGTCAGTCGACGAATACTATATTCTTTTCAATTTCTGTCATGTGATTTATCTAATTAATTGTATCAATTTATATGTAAATGTCATCATTAATAATTGACGAAAATAATATTCTCCCTCATCTTTGCCTATATCTTACTTCATTCTTTGCAGTTTTTAGATAGTTGTAGTTGATACATATCATGAGCAACTTTATAAAAGATTTTCACATATTACAATAAATTTAATTACTTCATGTAAGAGTGATTATATATTTCCTTGTAGTTTATTAAGAAAGGACATTAATTGAGTTTTTTAATATACTCTTCCTTTGAAGATTAATATATTTTTTGCGACCTTCGTCAACCTTTTTTATTTTAAAAATCGAAGATAGAACATATATATATATATAAATGTTCTAATTTTTTCGATTTTTAAAATAAAAAGTCTGACGAAAGAGGTATCGAGCTACCGAAACGTCACAAGAGATAAAATAATCTTTAAAAAAAGGGTATATCACAAAACTCAAAGTATGACAAAGTATTTCACAATATATGGTATCTCTGATAATGTGCACACGTAACATAGAACAGAACAAAACAAAACACGCATTCGAGACTCTATCTATATTCAAGTATTTTATCATTCTTGCTTATTTCGCTATCAAACTGACGTTGTATTTATTTTTTAAAACCACGTCACCTCAGTACAGAAAAAATAACGGTAGTTTTATTTTTATTATAGGTGTCCTTTTGCTAGCATGGCAATGTGTTTTATTATTGGTATTGCAGTAGTACTTTATATAGGATATCGAATATATCAACATTTTTTTCCAACTCCAGACATCGACGCACGTGGTAAATATGTTTTAATTTCAGGATGTGATACTGGTTTTGGTCATGGATTAGCTATTGAACTCGATAAACAAGGTTTCAATGTTTTTGCCGGTGTTTATCTTCAAGATAATATCATTTCATTACAAAATCAACTTTCATCCAAAGCAACTGTTTTTCAACTTGATATTACTAATCAAGATGATATTGATGCTGCGTTTGAATTAGTCAATCAGAAAACAAAATTTCTACATGCACTCGTGAACAATGCGGGAATTTCTGCTGGATATATGATTGATTGGACCTCCGTAGATACGATGCGTAAAGTAATGGATGTGAATCATTTTGGACATGTTGCAGTGACAAAAAAATTCTTACCATTACTTATTGCTAAACGTGGTTCGCGAGTGGTTAATATTTGTTCAGCTGCTGGTTATCTTGCTGCAGCGGGTATGTCATCATACTCTGCATCGAAATATGCATTAGAATCATTCAGTGATTGTCTTCGACGTGAGATGTTTCATTGGGGTTTAAAAGTTAGTATAATCGAACCAGGATATATGCGCACACCAATTATTGAAGGACTTGTTAAACCTTATCCTCAATTTCTAACTTCACTTCCAAATGATGTTCAAGAACGATGGGGAGAAGAATATCTTAAAGGATGGCACACTAAAATGGGACAAAATCCATTAAGAAAAATTGCAGATGATCCACTTAAAGTTGTTCGAGCACTTCAACATGCTGTTATGAACACAGTTCCTCATATTCGTTATCGTCCAGGCTGGCAATCAAGTCTTATGCTTTTTCCAATTTCAATGTTACCAGCTTGGATTGCTGATCCTCTTCTACGAAAATTATTTAAGTCAACTCTTGTTCCAGCAAGTATCCGCAATCAATTGAAAGATTAAAACGAATTTATTTAAATAAATAACCGTATAAATCTTTTTTTTGTAAAACAAAATGAATTTTTTTTATATGATAATAATAAAGGAAAGAACTTTTTTTAAATTTTATTATTGATATCGAAGATTTATATTTAATTTAACAAGAAAAACAATTTCTAAGTAAAATTAAATGCTATGTTGATTATCTCAACGGATTCTTATTACTACAAGACTATAAACTTGTCGTTGTTTTTGAGTAAATATTTCTTGTATTTGTGGTGTAATAAAAGCAAAACAAATAGTTGCAGTAAATACACCAATAGACATGCTTAGTCCTTGTATATGATAAGCCATTGTTATTAAATAATTAGTAATTATATACATAAATAAAATAGAAACAGTCGGAAGGCCAATACCAATCATAATAAGAACTAAAATAATAATACGTTTCATAATAATTAAATCTCTTTCATTTGCTTTTTGTCGTCTTTGTAAAATTCGAGGTGTTCGACGAATATGTTGAACAAGATAAATATAAATAATCAATATCGTCAATAATGGACAAATATAAATAATTAATGTTGCAATTAAAAGTCCACGAATATTTTCAAACGAAATCCAACATCTATATTGAAATGGAAGATATTCATAATCTTTATTAAGTAAATTACAAAGAATTAAAATAAATGATGATAACCATTGTATACCAATATTAATAAGAAAAAAATGAGTTGATTGAAGAATTTTTAATTTATAGAAAACAACTCGAACAAGTCGAAATATTGAATGAAGAACACATGAATAATATAGAGCACAAAAACAAACATTAACAAAATAAGCAAGTAATTGACACCAATTATTATTAATAGATACATGTGAATATATATCACCATATAAATTATAAATGTGTGTAATAAACATTGCAATACAAGTGAAAGATAATGTAACATATGTATTACATGTTAATAATATTGAAATATTTGATATTAATGGACGGAAATATCTTAATATTAATATTAAAATCCATAGACAAATAAAAAAAGTGAACGAAAGAAATATTAATATGATAATGTCTAATAATATTTTAATATTCATTGTATTGATAAGTTGAAGTTTTGTAGAATATTCTAAATATAGGAATCAAAATATTATACCACTGAAAATTCTTATTCGGTACTATTTATAAATAATGTAAGGCAACATTTGAGTGTATACCTGAAGTATGAAGAGAAAAGATACTTACTCAAATCATTCTGTTTGTTTTTTTCTAATTCTACAGGTTTCTCAGATTATGTTTGTCATCTTCATCTAGTATGAAAATGACAGAAAAGTAATAATACACAATCTAATTCTAACTATTTCGTTTTATTAAATTCAAAAAAATCTGATCATACCTGTTCTAGTTATAAAGATTGCATTGAATGCTCTACTATTGACAACAAGAGTAAACCAGTTGAAAGAATGTATATTTAACAATTTTGTTGAATTATATATACTTTTTATGCCTTCTATGATGGCATAGACATGTCATAATTATCATGAAATAATCTACTAAATGCCTAGTATCGTTTGAAAACATAATACATTTTGACAAGTATGATCGTGAGATATAGATATTCGAAAGGATTCATATTAATTAATTGACATTTTTTGTTGAATAACTCATTGATTAATATATATTCCTTACAGTACTAGAATTTATACGATATGGTTAGAAAAATAGAGAATTAATCGACAAGAGCAGAGATGTATCGTTCTATCCTAACAGAAAACTGTTGTATTAAAACTTTTAAAGTAAATTTTTCACAAATTGAAGATTATCCAATATGCCCTGGGGAATTCTAATCAATAATAAAAACAAAGAACATGGTATAATATAGAATTATCTACATGACTAAATCGTAATCATTTGTTTTTATAAAATGTCACTTGTATAGTAAAAAAAGATAAGCATCTGTCTTCTATTATTCATAAAAAAATAATTGATAGTCTCATGTCTTGCTAATCCTTCTTGTTTCATTTCCATTATAAGTAAACTGTACATCTTCATTCATTACGATATTATTGCATATGATCTCGCATGAGAATGAATTAGAAACTCTGTATAAATGTAAATATGGAAGTATGACAAATACGAATTGCTGGAAAAAGATCGAAAAAAAACTCTAAAATTTAAAATTTCGAACTTCGAAATGTCGAAAAAATAAAATTCCGAATGAGTGTGGGTGGGTGTGGATATGAGTGTGCGTATGAATAAAATAGATCGTCCATACCCACACTCACACCCACCCACCCACATCCTCACCCATATTCTCAAGCTGGTACAATCATATATTTGATTCTCATACTAATATATCCTATACTTCGAATAATTCGAGATTTTATTTTTCGGAATGGAGGTTCTTTCGGAATTTCAATTTTTCAAACTCTTATTCTTTCGAAATTTATTTTTTCGATCTTTTTCCATCATACTACAAATATTATAAGTTACGCAATTTTTCTTTAATAAAAAAAATAATAATGTCATAGTTCACATATGACAAAAATAATTAATCATTGTTAGAAGAAAAACGAACAAAAATATTTTCATCATTATAATCGATAAATTTATCTTTTAATTCAATATATGTGTTAATACAAAAAATTCTTTCTTTTAAATTTATTATTTAATTATCATTATTGAATACATAATATATATCTCAACGTTCATTTGAGAGCTACGGGCAAAGAAATATATTATTATACATTAAAAAAAACTCGCTGCAATACAAATATCATTTTTTATTCAATTGAATATAAATTCGATTGTTTATCTGTTGAATTGTATAATAATCAGAATAGAATTTTTCCAGTTGAAATGTTTTTACTAAGTTTTTCGATAAATCGTTATTTAAATTAGAAATACAAAAGCATATTGAACATAAACTTGTAATGCAATTGGTCTTTTTCGTAAGAATAAATCGTAGAATTGATTCTGCTTGAGTAGTACACATACAATTCACTACCAAATGTTGCATATGAGGACAAAGATTCATAAAAAATTGCATTTCTGCAAGTTCAGTTATTTGTTGCAAATTAACTCTTGTAATTTTATTAGTAGTTGATGTTAAACGAACAGTTGCTAATTCTTCCTTAGATAAATTTCTTAATTGTGACACTGTAAAAGATTTAACCAACAAATAATCAAGATTAGGTAAGAAATCTATGAGTTTCAATAATATTCTAACAGAAATCTTATTATAAGTTATATTCAATACAGTAATAGATGTTAAAAGTAGAATAGGTTGAATCATATTAATACATGATTCTTTAATATCAATTGTTGGAAGTTTTACAACAGTTAATTGATTACTTTGAGAATATGGAGTGATAATTTGTTGTATAGATTTTTGATTATCCTTTGTAATATTATCGTCTAGATATTGATCAAATTCATCCTGTTTTTTCCTATAATATATCAAAAGAAAAATGATTTAAAATATATAAAACATTCGTCAACTGTAATAATTAGGGATGCAACGGTTACGGTTTTTCACCGCTTCACCGTCTACAGTTAACCGTTCTAAAGCAATAACCGGTCCAATAGAAAGACCGATCAAACGAAAACCGGCCTAAGACAAAAACCGGTACAGGTCGGCAACTGTTTTTGTTTTTTGATAATTTTGTTAATTCATATAATTATAAAGCGATGTTGACATGTTGGTTCGTAATTAGAGAAGCTAGTAATATCATTTGCTTTATTGTTAATAAGAATAAGGAATATCACCATATAGGCATCAATATTCATGTTCTTATATTGTATTACTGTTATGCATCTATGAGTAATCGATTCTATGGCGGTTATCGATTCAAACCGGTTATCGTTTTTATCACAACGGTTTGCGTTTAACTGGTCTTTCTCTTAAGCCGGTTTCTGTTTAATCGTTTTTTTCTACTAACCCGGTTTTCGTTTAATTAGTCTTTCTATTAAGCCGGTTTCCGTTTAATCGTTTTTT